ATCATGTGGTTGGCAAACAGAGAGTTTGAGTTCTTTTCCTATTTGTATCCCTTAAATTTTTTATTTTGATTAATTGTTCTGACTAGAGTTTCGAGGATTATGTTGAATAGAAGCGACAAAAGTGGGCATGCCTGTCTTGTTCCTGTTTTTAGAGGAACTGCTTTCAGTCATTCTCCATTCAGAATGATATTGGCCTTGAGTTTGTGGTAACTTTTACAATGTTAAAAAAAAAAACCTTAACACCAAAAAAAAAGAAAAAAATCTAATCAATAAATGAACAAAGGAACTGAACAAACGCTTCTCAAAAGAGAAAATACAAATGGTCGAAAAGTTTATAAATAAATGTACAACATCTCTAGCAATTAGAGAAATGCAAATTAAAACAACACTGAGATTTCATATCACTCTAGTCAGAATGGCAATTATCAAGAATACAAGTAACAATAAATGTTGGCAAGGATGTGGGGAATAAGGCACACTCACACTTTGTTGGTAGGACTGCAAAACTGGTTCAACCACTCTGGAAAGCCATATGGAGATTCCTCAAAAAAGTAGAAATGGAACCATCATTTGATCCAGCCTTCCAACTTCTGGTATATTTCTAAAGGTTTAAAATCAGAATAGTACAGTGATGCAGCCACATCAATGTTTATAGCATCTCAATTCACAAAAACTAAGCTATGATGACAAACTAGGTGTCCTTCAACAGAGGAATGGATAAAGAAAATGTGGTGTATATACACAATGGACTATTACTCAGCCATAAAGAAGAATGACTCTATGACATTTGTCAGTAAATGGATCTGGAGATCATTATGGTAAGTGAAATAAACCAGTACCCCAAAAAAGCCAAAAATTGAATGTTTTCACTGATATATGGAAACTAATCTACAATGTGGAGATTGGGGGGGAATAGAAATTCAGTAGATTGGACAAAGGAGAAGAAAGGGAAGGGAAAAGGGATGGGAAAACCAAATACAGCGGAATGAATCTGACATAACTTTCCTAAGCACATATAGGAATGCACAGTGAATCCCACCACCATCTACATCCGCAAGAAAGGGGTCCAAATTAGAATAAGATATATTCCATGCTTGTATAATTATATCAAAATAGACTATACTGTCATGTATAACTAAAAAGAACCAATTAAAAAAGAAAAGATGGTGCCCTTCCGTTAGCATTTTCATTCCTTGCTTTGTCACATATTTTTCCGCCCACATCACTACCTCTCCTCCCTGTGTGAGCATAGTGCCAGACGAGTGTCCTCGTGGGCACAGGTGACACCGTATCCCAGGAAGGTACTAAGTGTCTCACTAGTTAGTAGCAGCTTCTGTCTCAGAACTCGGATCTTGCAGGGTCGACACACACACGGGTGGGAAGCGGAGGGGCTTCCAAGTTCAATGATTTGTTAACCATTTTTCACTTCTGTGCACAGGTGCCAGGAGTCTGAGGTTCTGAAAGGTAGAAAAGGAATGACCTTTGGCTAAGGAATCCATTTTAGTTAATTATTAAAAGCACTGTGACTGCCTGCATCCCCACCTTTGTGACCTAGATTCCAGTAATGAGAAGTCCCAGGATCCTTTGAAAGCCTTCATGTCAGGGAAGGGCTGGGGTAAAGATGACGATGGCCGACAGCTCAGTGCACTAAGCAAGCCAAGGTTGGAGGACCTTGTGTTCTTCCTGAAAGCTTAGCTCTGCTTGTCCTTAGCACTGTCACTGCCAGGTTTTCATTAGCCATGGGAAGGTGTCCCTGACTGTGGCCTTGACAGGCATGCTTGCTTCTTCATCCTGCTTAGAACAGTCCTTCCTCATCTTCCCTCCCTCCATCAGGACCTAAGCATTGCTGAGTGCAGAGGTGGGTATGAAGATACGCACACAACGCAGTCTGATCTCCAGAAACTTGCAATTTCTCTGCATGGTCACAGTTCACTCTAAATTCTCCTTTGAAGTTTCTGCTGTGATCTCTATTCTTCCTCACAGTCTTTATAGACACGCAGGAACCCAGAGAGGTGTGGTTTTTTTTTTTTTTTTTTTCTTTTCAAAGGGCTAGAGCATCTGAGTCAGAGTCTTTATTTTTTCCCCCTTGCCTGACTCATCCTAGTACCAATGGCTATGACTGACTCATCCATGTGTAAAGGGTGATGCTGAGGTCTTAGAGTACACTGGATGCTCAGGGTGGAAATGGAAATTGGTCTCTTTTTCCCACATCACTGGTGCTGGGAGAGGCTAAAATGACTCTCTTCTCACTATGCTGCGTGCACCCTTTGACTCGTTTTTTTTGTTTGCATATTGCCTATCTCACCTCTCTGTATCATCCACCAGGCTTTCCCTGTCTCTTCCATATTTGGGGCCAAACTTATTCTGCAACCTCACTTTCAGCAAACCTCCAACTATATAGAAATGTAAGGGGTCTTGTCACTCAGAACCCAAAACCCCACACCGTAACCCTCCTTTTCTTGGCTGAGCTTCTCTGGAGAAAATATGTCCCTACTGCTGCCCCACACCTGGAGCTAAGGATAAACAACACCACAAATAATTTCTGCTTCATGGGGTGCATTATGTGGAGGCTGTGGAAACTGCTGATATTTCATTTAAAAAGCTGTGGAGTGAATATCATGTTAGTGGGGAGAAATGCACTCAGTAAGCTGCTGCTTCTGGAAATATTATTCTCTATAATCTTAACTTTAATAGCTTAAATTTAATCAAGTTCTCTTCGGTTGTCAAGTTTAAGATCTTACTATTAATAAACCAACAAAAGTTTCTTGGCGCCTAGCACCAATTTGCATATGGTTAGCGTTCAAAAAATGTCTTAATAGATATTTTCTAAGTGCAACTATGTTTTGATTCTTTTCCAACAAAAACTTTTGACATCTAAAAATAAAATACATCATTATTGGTGTAGTTGTGTGACCAAAACCACAATGGTTCTTCCTCTTTTCATGACATCTGAGTTCCTTCCAGTCACAAAAATCTATGATCTTGGTGAAAATTTTCAGAGTAACTGTAGTAGATTCTTGGGAACATTTTTTTTTAATTTCTCAAAATACACAGTAAGAAAGCAAGCAATCCAATTAAAATATGCAAAACTATATCCATACTAAGGATTCTTACCCAGTGATAGAAAGGAGCACACTGTTGATATGTGCAATCACTTAGACAGTTCTACTTATAAGGGGTTTATTCTTCATTATCTGCCTTTTTAAGATGGAAAGATAGATCATTGATTTTTACCTCATTTCTCTAGTCTTCTATAAAAATTTAATGTTATGGGTTATCCCCGAGCTCTGCTTTAGCAGCATCACACAAATCCTGATGTGTTTTGTTTTCATTTTTATTCAATTCAAAATATGTTCCAATTTTCCTTCTGATTTCTTCTTTGACCCATGGGTTATTTAGAAGTATGGTGTTTAATTTTCAAACATTCAGGTATTTTCTACATGCCTTTCTGTTGTTCATTTCTAATTAAATTCTGTGATAGCAATAACAGATACTCTGTGCCGTTTTAATCCTTTTAGATGTATACAGGACTTGTTTTAAATTCTAGAAAATAGTCTGTTTTGGTGAATGCCCCATGAATACCTGAAAAGAATGTATGTTCTTCCATTTTAAAATAGTGTTTTTTTAAAATAAGCTTTTGAAATTATGATAAGTTAGTTGGAACTGTAGCTTCCTTTTATTCATTAATATTTACCTTTTTTCAATATTTCTTCCATAGTTCCTTTTTTTCTCTATTTGTATTGATTGTCTATACAATCAATACAAATAGATTGATTGTATAGACAATCAATACAAATCAACCTACATCAATTATAGAAAGAAGAGTTGAAATATTAAATCTAGCACAATATAATTGTGGGCTTGTCTCTTTTTTCTTTTAGTTCTATCAATTGGTCTCATTCATTTTGAAACTCTGAAATTAGGTGTGCAGATATTGAAGATGTGATAGCTTCTTGATGAATTGAGTCTCTCATCACTTTGACTTGTTTAAGCTTTTCATAATTGTTTATCTTTTTTTAAAAAAGTTAATGTATAGTCAAAATAATCCTGAGAAAAGACAAAGTTGACAGACTAACATTTTTCAATTTTTACAAAATAATCAAGAATGTGTACTATGGAGACTGTGTACTATAAGTATAAAGTCTCCAGATCCACAGTAGATTAAGCAAAGGAGAATGGAAGGAAGGGAGGGGGGATAGGAAAGATAGCAGAAAGAAACTAACATAATTTCCCTATGTACATATATGAAAATACCTAAGTAGATTCCACCATCATGTACACTGACAAGAATGGGGTCCTGATTACAATAAGATATATTCCATGCTTGTATAATTATACCATAATATATTCTACTGGCATGAATAACTAAAAAGAACCAATAAAAAATAAGAAAAAAATAGACATGTAGATCAATGCAATAGAATTGAGAGTACGCAAATAAACCCATACACTGTTTTTGTCTTTTTTATTTGTTCTTTGTAGATATCCATGACATTAGAGTGCCTTTTGACATATTATGCATACATGGAGTATAACTTATTCTTGTGATTGTATACCACACACCTTTGACAACTGATTTCAACAGGAGTGACTAGACAACTCAATTAGGGAAGGTTAGTCTATTTAATATTTGGAATTTGGGGCAACTGGATATCCACATGCAGAAGAATAAAGTTCCCCTCCCTTCGTACCATAAACAAAAAAATAAATGAAAATAGATCAAAACCTTAAACATAGGAGCTAAAACAAAAATTCTTAGAGAAAACTTAGATGTAAAGCTCTGTGATCTTGGATTAGACAAAGATTTCTTAGATAATGACATCTAACACTCAAGCAAAGAAAAATAAATAAATAAGACAATATCAAGAAAGTGAAAGGGTACATGGGGACAGGAATGATGATGGAATGAGGTGAACATCATTACCCTAGGTACATGTATGACTGATTACACATATGGTGTGATGCTACATCATGTACAACCATAGAATCTAGCCTGCGACACGCGCTGGCTTCATGAAAGAAGGTAGCTCCCGCCTCCAGCCACCTAATGCGGTAGAGAGGCTTACTGAAGAGGAGAGAGAGAGAGAGAGAGAGAGAGAGAGAGAGAGAGAGAGAGAAACACACCAGGGAGTGGACTTTTATTGGGGAACAAAAAATTCTGGGGAAAATCCCATCCAATGAAGATTAAGGAGGGCAGCATCCCAAGGTCAGGGGCGATGATTGGGTCTTGGGGCAGTGGTCAGACATGCCTCTGCACAGACAAGCCCTCGGACCTGGAGAAGGGTGGGGAAGGCTCTGGCACAGCTGTGTCTAAGCGCCTCTCACCCAGCCAGGGAGGTAACTCAAATCACATACAAGGATGGCCTCCCACAATAGAAATGTAAAGTTGTGCTGCAAATGTGCACAATGAATCAAGATGCATTCTGCTGTCATATATACATAGTTTAAATAAATTAATTTTAAAAAAGAAAGTGAAAAGACATCTATCTACACAATAGGGAAATATATATATATATATTTATAATCTTACTACTCAACAATAATATGACTAATAACCCAATGTAAGTTTCTTTAAAATATCATTTTCATATTAAAATACCTTGGACCTATTGCTGAAAAACAGTTTGCTACATATACATGGATTACTTCTATATTCTTCAGTTTATTAAACTGATTTATATGTGTGTTATTATTTTATAGCCTCACTGACTAGATTAAGTAGTTTTACACCAACGTTAGTATCCTACTTTTTTCCTTTAAAATGTTTTTTTGGTTGCTCCAGGTATTTTACATTTCTATATACATTCCAAATTGGTTTTTCAATTCCTATTTTTAAAAGGCTGTTGGCATTTTGATTGAGATTGTTTGAATTTATACACTAACTTAGGGAAAATTGATATCCTACTAATAATCTTCTAATCCATGTGCATAATATTTATATCCAGTTATTCCTGTCTAATTTCTCTCAGCAACATTTCATAGTTTTCTGTGTAGAGGTCTTCATATATTTGTGAAAGTTCACACTCTCTGTTTTTAATGAAATTTAATGTTATGTTACATAGTTTTCAGATTGTTGCTCATATTTAGAAATACAATTGATTTGTATATATTGATCTTTTACTCTAAAAACTTACTAAATTTATTTACTAATCCTAGAATATTATCCATCAATTTTTTTATATACACACCTAAATCTTATGTAAGTAAATAAAATTTATACTTATTATTTTACAATCTTAACCTCTTTAATTTCTGTTTCTTGTCTCATTGCCCTGGTTTCGAACAGTATGGCAATATTGAATGACAAAAGAAGGCACACTTATTTTTCTCCTGTTCTAAGAGAACAAACATTTTCTTTGACTATTAATTATAACAGCTGGCAGTTGAGAAAATTATCTTCAACTAGTATATATCCATGAGTCTTTCATGAATGAGAACTAAATTTTGCCCATTTTTTAATCAATTTTGAGTTAATCACATATGGTGAACTCATTAATTGATTTTCAAACGTTAAACCAATTTTTTTTTTAACTTGGAAAAACCTTACTGGTTCATGGCATATGATCTTTTTAAGGTATTGTTGGCTTTTATTACCAGCATGTTGTAAAGGACTTTTGCAACTATGTTTCAAATATTTTCTTAAATCTTTGTTAGAATTTTCCAGTGATGTAATTGAGAGCTGGTGCATTTCTTGTGAGAAATTTTACTTTAATTTAATTTAAACTGCGTGGCTATTCCAACTTTCCATTTCTTCTTGAGTTAAATTTGATCACCTGTGACTTTAAAAGAATTTTTCCACTTTATGTAAGTAGTTTAATTTATTGGCACAAGTTTCTTATTATATTTCTTTCTTAATCTTTTTATATATACAGGATCTATATAGTAAATGGATCTATATAGTAAAATCCCTCTTTAATTGTTTCTTCCTTTTTTCTCTCAGTTCATCTATCTAAAATATTATCAAATGTATTTATTTTTAAAAATTCAATTTCATTGACATTTTGTTCTTTTTTTATTCACTGATTTTCTTCTATCCAATTTGAATTTGATTTTCTGTTTTTAGCCTCTTAACCCAGTAAGTCTCAAGTTTTCAATCTGCAAATATTTCAACTAAATTGACAGAAAAGTGCATTAAAATAGATTGGAAATCATAATGAAAAGCTTATATAGACTATATATTAATTACCAATATATTAACTATGTTTATTATACTCAATTATTATGATTGTTTTATTATTAAATATAATTATATATCATATTTTATATTTAAGTTTTTGTAAATGTTCCACAACTGAGACAAGGGGACAAAATAAATTTTTAGGTAATATGGATTTTTCTTCTATACCAATATTAACATTCAAAGCTATAAAATTTTCTCTAAGGACTAATTTAAGTGGATTCATCACTGGTGTATAGGAATGCATTCAATTTATCGGTGTTTATTTTATATCCTGCGACTTTGCTGAATTCATTTATTAGTTCAAGAAGTTTTCTGGTGGAATTTTTTGGATCTTCTAAATATAGAATCATGTCATTGGCAGTTAGTGATAGTTTGAGTTCTTCTCTACCTATTTGTATCCCTTTAATTTCTTTATTCTAATTGCTCTGGCTAGAGTTTCAAGGATGATGTTGAATAAAAGTGGTGAAAGAGAGCATTCTTGTCTTGTTCCAGTTTTTAGAGGGAATGCTTTCAATTTTTCTCTCTTTAGAATGATACTGGCCTTGGGTTTAGCATATAACATTTACGATGTTGAAATATGTTCCTACTGTCCTTAATGGCAATCATAAAGGGTAGTAGCTCAGTGGCACAGTGCTTGCCTAGTACGTGTGAGACCCTGGGTTCAATCCTCATCACCACAGAAAAATAAATAAATAAAATAAAAGGTATTGTGTCCATCTACAACAAGAACAACAACAACAAGAATACAGGCAAATGCAGGCGAGGATGTGGGGGGAAATGTACACTCATACATTGCTGGTGGGAATGCAAATTGGTGCAACCACTATGGAAAGTGATATGGAGATTCCTCAAAAAACTTGGAATGGAACCACCATTTGACCCAGCTATCTCACTCCTTGGTTTATATCCAAAGGACTTAAAATCAACATATTACTGTGATGTGGCCACATCACTGTTTATAGCAACTCACAATAACTAAACTATGGAACCAATCTAGGTGCCCTTCAATAGATGAATGAATAAAGAAAATGTAGTATATATATTCGATGGAATATTACTCAGCTTTAATGAAAAATGAAATTATGGCATTTGCCAGTAAATGGATGGAGTTGGAGAATATCATGCTAAGCTAAATAAGCCAATCTCAAAAAACCAAAGGCAAAATATTTTCTTCAATATGCAGATGCTAATTCACAATAAGCAGGGGGTGGGGAGACAGGGAATGACAGAGTTGCTTTAGATTAGATACAGGAGAGTGAAGGGAGGGGAGGGGATATGGGGATAGGAAGAATAGTAGATTGAAACAGACATTATTACCTTATGTTCATATATGACTGCATGACTGGTGTGATTCTCCAACATGTACCATCAGAAAAATGAGAAATCTTACCCCATTTATGTATTATATATCAAAGTGCATAAATGCATTCTACTGTCATGTATAACTAACTAAAACAAATAAAAAATTAATTTTAAAAAAGAACTGCTTTAATTCTGTCACACAGTTTTGATATCTTGTGTTTTCATTTTCATTCAGTTCGAAATATGTTCCAATTATCATTGTGATTTCTTCTTGGAGCTATGGGATATGTAAGAGTGTTGTTTAATATCTAAGTATTTGTGGATTTTCCATGTATATTCTGTGTTGATTTCTAATTTGATTCTATTTCATTATTTAGAAAATATTTTGGATCACTTTAACCATTTTAAACTTATTGATGTTTGTTTTAAAGTCCAGAAAATGGTCTTTCTTGGTGAATGTTTCATGATCACGTAAAAAGAACATGTATTATATTGTTAAATAAAATGTTCTATAAATGATTTGAAAAATTTTCACATTTTTATAATATTTTCTGTCTACTTGTTGCATAGATTATGTAGAGAGAACTGTCGAAATCTCCAATTATAATTATGGATTTGTGTCTTCTTTCAACTTTGTCAGTTTTTGTATCGTGTTTGAAACTGTTATTTGGTATGTGCAAACTTAGAATACCACATCTTCTTGACAGCTTGAGTGCCCTTTTATCATTATGAAATGCCTCTCTTATGTTTGGTAAGATTTCTTTAATGAGGCATAATAGATATGATATTAATATAGTCAGTATAGTATTCTTATTTGTACTATTTGCACGGTATGCAATGCTCCATCCTTTTACTCTGATATTTTCCTTTGCATTTGAAGTATGCTTCATGTAGAAGAAAATAATTGTCTTGCTTTTGTTCTGTCTGATGATCTCTCCATTTTGATTGAAGGGTTCACAGAATTGAGATTTAATGTAATTATTAGTATGGTGAGGCTCAATCTATCATTTTGCTATTTGTTCTATTTGATCCACTTCTTTGTTGTTCCACCTTCTCACCTATCTGCCTCATTTGAATTGTGTGTGTTTTATGATTCTATCTGACCAACAATATTGGATTAGTAGCGATACCTATTTGTTCAATGTTAAGTGGTTGCTCAGGAGTTTATACTGTTCATCCTTAACTTGTTATCAGAAAACATGATGCCACCTCATATGCAAGGTAAGATTATATAAGGTACTTTCATTCCCTGCTTCTATTTATGTGCTAATCTTTCCTTACATTTTATATTTCATTATGGTTGAGACTATACCATGTATCTTTTAAAATGGATTTTTTAAAGTATGCCTTATGCTCACTCATAAATTATTAATTTTTTACTTTATTCATCCCTGTCTATATATCTATCTGCATTTCTATTTGGTGACACTTCTCTTCCATTTGAAGAACTTTTAGTACTTATTTTGGTACAGGTCTGTTAGCAATAAGTTCCCTTAGCTTTTATTTGAAAAATATTTATTTGG